ACGGCAAAAAAGGAAGGCCCTGGACGGGATGGGTGGACACCGTGGCTGCGACCATCGGTTTGGACATAAGGACGATCGTGAGGCTGGGCGGGCTGGGCAGCATCCGGTCTGCTGTCCATGGGGTTGCCAAGAGTCGGGACCGACCCTACAGGGCCTCAGAGCCACAAGAGCCCGCTCCAGTGGAGCCTGGCGGACCTACCTTTCAAGGTCTCCATGATGAACTTCTTGAGGTAATACATGTACTTGGCATCGTCTCTCGCGGTGGTCCCCGAGACAAACCAGCCGTTCTCCACGATGAAAATCGGGGGGTGGTTGAACTCCAGGTCGACCCAGGAGAGGAGCTGCCTCAGGCTGGGAGACTCTGCCTGCCGGAACTTCATGTGAGGGTCCAGGAGCTGGAAACTCAAGACGGGTCCAAAGGAGAGAGCAAAGAAGTCCGCCGTGCCCCGGACCAGCTTCCTCTCGGATTCCGTGAACTCCGGCAGGAGCGAGGAGAGGTTGCTCCGCATGCTGTCGGGGTAGCGGCCGTCGAGGAAGACGGGCCTGGCAAACCAGCCGAGCACAAAGTCCAGCGATCTCTGACATTCCGCGATGGCGTGGGCGCTCATTCTTCGAGGCCGGATCCAGTGGGAGCCCAGGGCGATGGACACCTGGCCCCCCTGCATGGGGCGGAACGAAGTGTTGTAGAGGTGCCAGACTTTGGCGTGGGCCTGTGACGGGGGAAAAAGAAACCACACGGTGGGTGAGCCTGCCTGTGCTTGTGACTGAGACTGGGGCTGGCCCCCCACCTGTGCTGGCCCTGCTTCTCATCGCCCGCCAGACCCGAAATGTGGGACCGATGCGCAACAGAAGGAAGCACCTCCCGGCCCTGCGCCATCCTCCCAGCGGCGCTTGTGCCTAAGCCCGTCGCTGCAGCCCCTGTGTCCACCCTTCTGCTTGGGGCTCCCCCTTTACACCGCCCGTCCACGTTATAAGCGTGATGCCGTTCTCCAGGGACTGGTCTCTCCTGACCACGTGTCCAGGATACGTGAGACGATGACGACGTCTCTCTGTCCCTGCCTCTGAGGAGCACTCTGGCCCTCCTTCTCCCAAGACAGGTTGGTTTGTCCTTTTGGCAGCCTCAGGGTATTTTGCCAGCCCCATCAGTCAAACACAGGTGGATCCTTCTTCCGTCTCCCTTAGTCCCCGCGCACCTCTGACATGCAGCTGAGGCCACTGGAAATGCCATGACTGCTCCCGTGGAGATTCCCAAACCAAAGCCCCTGCTCCAAGTCCCTTCAGACTCACAGCCACGCCACAGGACAGAGGAGACCTGCCCCAGGGGGTGCCAACGCTGTCGATCTTTACTGAAGCTGACAGCCTCATCTCTTTCTCCCATGGAGTGGCTGTTGGGTTCAAGGCACCCATCTTTCACCCCACGCTTACCCTGCTGGAACGTGCAGCCCAGCAACCACCTGTGGGGCTGGCCCGACTCTGTCACATGGGGTCGCTGTGAGTCAGAGGCCACTCCACAGCCCTGGGCAGTTAATCCCACAAACTGAGTATCACCAGCAAGTTGGCAACTGATAACCTCACACACACACACACACACACACCTCACACCATGACTATGATGATGACTCCCAATGCTTTGTAGCACCTAATGGGAAGCAAAACAAGCAAATAGATAGACAGAGATCTATATCGGTACTAACAATAATGCATGTGAATTTCCTGCAAAGGCGTAGTGCTGCATTTCCAGAAGTTTGTGAAATAAGAATTTGGTATAATATCTTACCGTGTAATTTAATTTGGATTAGGTGCTTTTAATGAATGGAATCTCTTTTTTAGAACCGAGGCCCCATCGGTGAAAGTGCCAGGATTTTCTTAAAAGAGTTCTATTTTTTTGTCCTAAGAGACGGGGAATTTTCCACTGGATGCTCTCCTAAGTAAAAACTCTAATCATTGGCCTCACGGCTTTGTGCTCCTTAAGAAGAATTAGCGTCATAAATTAAGGCGCCAGCTCCACTATTTGACCTTGGCTCACCCTCGGGGCCTGTGTGTCACTGCAGAGCCCCGTGCGTTCAGGCTACAACCTGAAATCATAGCCCAGGAGAAGGTGGCTGAGGGGCGGGGGTGGGGGTGGGGGTGTTCTCCATGAGTAGGGTGCACCATCAAAAAACAAATCCCTATAAGACCAAAAGGTAACGAATTACTCTAGGCGGGAGGGGG